GTTCGCTGTACTTCTTTTGGTCTTTCTTCCTACATTCATGTCCAAGAAGACACAAAAGTTCTACAACGTGCACTGGCTGATTATTTGAGTCAAATGTGTCCAATAACTGCTCAAGGATCTGAGCATAGTTCTTTGGATGAAGACACTTTTCCAAATACATGCACTTCTGTGGAAAACTTTCCAAGAGAGTTTGAGAGCCTTCCATAATTTCTTCATCCTTTTCTCTCCTTCCTCGAGCATAATTGCCTAGAAAATGCTCGAAGTTGCTTCTGTCCTTGTTGAATGAAGAAAGAGACTCTTTGCAGCTGTCTCTTTTCCAGTACAATTCGGCGTTGTTCGCAAGGCGAGACATGAAATAAACACAGGCCAATTTTTCTCCTCTAGCTAAGAGATCGGCATGCTTAGCTTGACCAATCTTTCTCGCATACGAGTGAATGAGGGGATGCATCTCGTACCTCCGTGAACTTGGTTGCTCGATTAGCGACCTCTTTTTCAAGGAGCGAACGGTCGACATGTGCCGAATTCCAGGAACTGAGCATGCTTTCATTACAGCTTCGGCAGCCCCTGAGTCAAATGACCCTTTGAAAGTTGACATAAGAACGAAGGCTTCTTGTCCAGCTTCAGTCAAAAGATCAAAAGAAGTCTCAATGGCCTTTTCTACAGACACTTGATCGTCCTCCAGTATATCGAGTGGTTCTTTCTCCAGGTTTTCAATTAGAATTTCTTCGGTGTAGTCTGAAAGCAGGGGTCCAACAATGCATAGTGCCAGAGGAACACAGCCACAAAGGTCCACAATACGCTCTGCTTGAGAAAGCTCTTGAACATTTTTAGCCTCAGCAACCAGAAGATCTTTGGCCTGTTCCTTTGACAACGGGTGTAGCATGACTTCTTCTGATGGTAGGTCAGGATTTTGAAATGTTGTTCTTGTAGTTATCACAAATGTGACATGTTTTTTAGAATGCTTTCTCAGATCACATAAGCAATCGAGGAAAGATTCGCGATCTTCAGACTCGATGACACCATCTGCATTGTCAAGAACAAAAGTGACTTGGTTTTGAATCTGTTTGCACCAGTTTATAAGCTTCTGCCTCGGATCCTCGGGTACTTGCGTGTTGACCTCTTTATGACACGAGTTGATCATTTCCATAGTCGCTTCGTTGAAAGTTGTCTTTCTTAATAGTCTACAGAACAACACAATTCTTTTATTTTCTGCTTTGGCTAATTCACAGGCCACTCGCTTGGCTACGGTGGTCTTTCCGAATCCCGGTCCACCAGTGATCAGAACTACAGGTACTATTCCACTTTGAACTTTATCTTTGATGTCTTTTATTTGCTCACCACGACCAATAATATGTTCCTCTGGCCTGTCATCTGGAAGACAACTGCAGAGTTCAGAGACATTTCCACTCTTCTCTAGTTCTTTCTCCCTCCGCCATTGTTCGACTTCTTCTTCCACCAACCGAGCATCGTGATCGATAGTAGCACTCTTTAGGGACTGAAGTTTCTTCCGATAGGCGGCTACCTCAAGTACTTCCAAAGACAAAGATATCATGTTCCACTTGACTTCGAATTCGTCATTCGGAACTACAGTAGAAACACTGTGACAAAGCTCATTTCTATAGCATTTTATACGAACGATGCTGGCTTCAGGGCTCTCATCAGAGTCTGATGGCATTTTGTGCCATCCATTCGACGGCGCTTTTAGATGAACCATTTCACGGAGCAATACGTGTAGAAGCGTGATGTCGAATTCTTTCGAGTTTGGCGGTTTACCTGAGGAAGGAAACAAATTCTCCCACTGCGTATCAAATATTACTCGCTTCCGTTTTAGCTGTTCAAGCTTTGGGCGATTGTTTTTTAATGTGTGCTGTAATGTTGACTCTGGATGAAAAGAATCAAAGAACTTCCTTAGAGCCTCCGTTCCTTCATCAATGAGCAGTCTTGTCAGCCTTGTGCCATTTGTCTTTTCTTCAGATGGACCCGCCACTGAGGGTCCACAATGACCAGTAGAAATTGGGAAGGATATTCCGCCGGCTGCCATGGCTTACCGTCAAAAGCTCTTTAAAAACAAATTCCTTGCGAGAAGGACAGGGACTTTAGCTTTCTTCAGATAACCACGAATTGCAATTTTCAATCGACGCGAATTTATAACCAGTCAACTGGGAAATGTCCAAATGCTAGTAAAGACTCGCTTCCACTACACTGCTAGGCCATGAGGTATCCTGCGAAAAAGAAATGAGACTCGGAATGTTCACCTGGTCAGCGCCAGAAGCAGTTGATGCTGGTGAGTAATTCAACTATTTGTTTACCTTTAACTTTTGACTCAGGCGTGAATGGCGCTTCTTTAATACCCAAACCTCTTTAAATCTATTCTCCGGGATTCAAATCCCATAGAGATAAACTTTCCAAATTAATGTGAAAGAAAAGTTGAACTACACGCACTACACTTCACAAAATTTCGCTCTCAGCGTTTTGAAGAAAGCGAGACTTGTTTTTTAGGAGCTGAAGTCTGCCAAAATGGATTCTGGGACAATTTTGTACTCTTCGAAACATATAGATCGTGTAGACGTTTTGACGGAAAGTTTCAACTCAACCCAAAATATAATCAGGTTCATGTCTCCTTCATTTGCTAAATTGTTAACTTTTAACGAAGATACTGTGTCAATAAGGAAAGGCAGGAAGAACTGAATGGTCAAACTAAAGTGGGACAGGGTAATAGCATCCGAATTTGATTGACACTATCGGTGACTTTCATAACAATAAATAATTCTTTGCGACCAGTATAAGCCATGGCATGTTTGTCGAGTTCATCCTATCTGTCTCTCGCCTTTGCTAGAGCTTGACGAGTCAAAACTCTTTAATGAAACTACTAATTAGATAATGGAAATAGTACGCGAGCTCTCATTGTTCTACTGGTGAGTTTAGATGNACCGAAGTGGAGGTGGTTAGTGGTGGATATTTACCGAGCCGCGAAGCGGCGAGGTAAATATCCACCGCTAACCACCGACACTGAGGTGAATAGTTGTTTTAGTATATACTAAAACAGTGAGATAATATACACCACCAAAAATTTATTTGAATTCATACATTCCAGCAACGACTCCAACATTTTCACGCGCGGAAGTGAACAAGTGAGGTTACGCAAGATTAATTTGCATTTGTAAACAAAACCTTTCTCATTGGTTTTAATCGATAAACTCCGGGTTAATAAATTAAACCATTACCTTTAAACACGGCCAAACCAAACTTAATCGCTTTCTTTTTGTTTTCAGGGACTGCTTCGTTGTTAATTTGAGTGATTTCTTCCCTTGTCACGGATACAAACCGGGACGCCATTTTTTCCCGAGGTGCTCGGAGGTAAATAGCAAAGAATATTCGGAGTTTGACTAGCCAATCACAGCGCGCCTTCAACGCTATCCACTGTTTTAGTATATACTAATTGGTGATAGTTGATGATAGTTTGAAGAGAATCAACTATCATCGACTATCATGCACCGTTTGACCAAGGCTTAAGGCTTTAGAGTGGGTAGTCTTACAAATGTGTTGTTTTCCATCATATGAGGTTTATATACTAGAGATATCCTGACTGGGATAACTATTTGTAATCAATTCTAAGACTGATATCTTATAAAGTGCTCTATTACAAACACAACATACATAATATGGATCTTCCCTTATTTTGTTTTTTAACTGTTGAATACATGAATCTAGAATTATATTCTTACTTGTAACTGACGCAATAGAGCAGCGCGCGAACTTTAATTTAGTTGCACGCGCGGCCTCGTAACATCAGCGCGCGACCTTTAATTTAGTTGTAAGCGCTCACGAAAGTGCCGCGACAGCCCGCAAGCTGTACCTAAAATAATTTTTATTAAAAACGTTAAATTAAATTATTAAGTTTTATTAAATTTTAAGCTCCCTTTTAATTTTAAGCTGACACGTACGCTTGTCATATTTGTAGATTATGGTATATTGGCTGATATACCATAATGACTAAGCCAATAAAGAGTCTTTTTTGTACGGACCTCGCTGCGCTCGGTCCGTACTGTCAAGACCTCGGGCCGATATTCTCCCAGTGCGGCCCTTGCGCTTGGTTAATAAATTATTTATATCCAACAAGCGCGAGTGGAATAATTGTTTTATTAAAAACGTTAAGTTAAATTATTAAATTTTATTAAATTTTTAGATCCCTTTTAATTTTAAACTGGCACGTACGCTTGCCATATTTGTAGATTATGGTATAACTATTGGATGATATACCATAATGGCTAAGCCAATAAAAAGTCTTGAATTGCATTATCCAATGATCTAGTTTTTAATAATGTTGATTAGTTTCCAGTGCCGCTCGCACAATGAAAAATGTTTCATGGAAATGGCGAGGAAACGGTGTGCAGAAAACAATTAAAATGGCTGACTGCGAAGAAATTAGGGCAGGTCACGCTCAGAGAAAGGGAAAGGGAAGGGAACTGGAAAGATGAAGTAAGGAGGTGGCTTATTCGCAAATCGATCTACTGATGACAGAAAAATATGATATCAGCCGTACGGATTACAAGAGCAGGTGGA